CCTTTTCACTTACGTTTATTCCAAGTGAGAACTAGAAAGTGCTAGTATGGGATTAATGGACTGTTGTGGCATCATTGCCTGACCCCCTTTCCTTTTGATTGTTGCTTTGAAGCTCCCACACCCGGCTAGAAACTCTCCTGGCCGAGCAGCCACAGTACCAATAGGATATCTNAACCACACAACATTATTTCGGGTCGGGTCATCATCCGGATCACATATACAAACTAGTCTCCATAAAAATAAACCAACAANCAATAGGATATTTGTGCACTATGTGCAAATAAAATATGGCCTCTACATTTTCGAGCACCCCTTGGTGGATCATGTCTTTTGCACCTTCACCTTGTTCCTCAGCTGGTTGAAATATAAGAACAACCGTTCCCTACAAGAGAAAATGTTGTATTAGATTTGAGACTATGCTGGGAACTAATGAGTTGTATAATTTGAATGCTGTATCACCTTTTGAATGTGGANACGAGCAAGTATCAAAGCCCCCTTACTCATCTTCCAAGCATCTGATGTAAACGATGTGACCACTCCACCCTCTGACAACTGACCCACTGAAATAAGATTTCGTGTTACACTAGGCACATGTCTAACGTCTTTCAATTTCAGAACCGTCCCATCTGTCTGAGTAATCTGCACATCCCCTTTCTCNCTCAGGTCTTATGTCCAAAGATTTAATTCAGAGTCGTTAAAGGTGGATGTCCCAGTCGAAAAGTTCGCCATCACTTCCTTCATAGCTGGTTTAGGGGTGCAATCTAAAAATTTGATGTTCTCCATATCAAAAAATCTCCAAGCAAGCATGGTTGAGGTGCTTGCCAAAGTAGAGAAATATATAAACGGCGAAGAAGCTCTTCTTTCTAAGGTAGGGAGTTCTTCCACACATAGAGATAAGGGAAAGGAAGAGAAAAAGAGGAACTGAAGTCCCAGGAAAGAGAGGAAAAGAAACAAATCTCCAAAGAGAGATAGATCTCCCAAAAGAGATAAAGAGCGATCCCCAAAAAGAAGGGAGAACGTTAGAGACCTCTTAGGACCCTCGCAGTCAGAACTACAGCCAAGTTATGCACCTCAGCAATATACCCCTCTCACTGCAACAGTGTCCCATATCCTATACGAGGTGCAAAACGAGAAATTCCTAAGGTGGCCTCCACGAATAAAGGTAGATCCAGCTAAAAGAGACCCTACAAAGTATTGCGAGTATCATAGGGTTCATGGCCATCACACTGACGATTGCATTTAGCTAAAGAAAGAGATCGGTTTCTTGATTCAGAGGGGGCAGTTACGACGATTTGTTGTCCATGACAACCAGAATAGGGCTCCACCACCACCGGCACCTCAACAACAAGCTCCTGCACAGCACCAGCAACCCTTAGGGGAGATCAGAGTGATATCTAGAGGATTTGCTGGCGGTGGAGAATCCAGTGTAGCCAGGAAAGCACACATGCGCAGGATCAAAGCTGGCGAAGCGCTCAAAGTGCACACCGTGTCCAAAATACCTCGGCTGAGCACAACCATCACTTTTTTGGATTCAGACTTGGAAGGCTGCCAGCATCCCCATGATGACCCGTTGGTGGTAAGGGCTATTATGACTAACCAAATGGTTCATCGAGTTCTAATTGACAATGGGAGCTCAACCGACATCATTTTTGTCTCTGCCTTTGACAAAATGAGCACAGGAAGACAGAAGCTTGAGCCAGTAAGTGCTCACTTAATGAGATTCTCAGGGGAAAGGGTGCTACCCCTGGGATCCATCCAACTCGTGCTCACTATGGGGGACCCTCATTGCCAAGCCACCACCACTGTGAAATTCTTGGTGGTTGACACCTTTTCTGCATATAATATGCTACTTGGGAGACTATCCCTCAACGCAATGAAGGCTATCCCCTCAGCATATCACTTGGTCGTAAAAATTTTCTACAGAAAATGAAGTTGAAATGGTCCGAGGAGACCAGCGAATAGCTAGGGAGTGCTACATAGCCTTGGTGAAGTAGAAAGAGGTTGAAAATATCCAGCTAGATGAGCTTGACATGAGGAACGAGCTAGACACTAGGCCCATGCAGTTAGAAGAGCTAGAGCGAGTCCAGCTCGATGAAAAGTCTGAACATATTATTTACATGGGATCTAAGTTAAGCAGAGAAATGAAAGACCTACTCACCCAGTTC